TTTTTTTTTTTCACATGGTCTGGCTTTGTTGCCCAGACTGTAGGTACATGATCCTGGCTCACTGCAGCCTCGACCTCTTGGGCTCAACTGATCCTCCCACCTCAGCCTCCTTAGTAGCTGGGACTACAGGCATGCGCCACCAAGCCTGGCCTCCCAAAGTGCTGAGATCACAGGTGTGAGCCACTACACCTGGCCCAAAAAGTCTTTATGACTCCTTCCTAAGACTATGTTAACCGGCCGGGTGCAGTGGCTCACACCTGTAATCCCAGCACCTTGGGAGGTTGAGGCGGGCGGATCACAAGGTCAGGAGATCGAGACCATCCTGGCTAACATGGTGAAACCCCGTCTCTACTAAAAATACAAAAAATTAGCCGGGCATGGTGGTGGGCGCCTGTAGTCCCAGCTACTCGGGAGGCTGAGGCAGGAGAATGGCGTCAACCTGGGAGGCGGAGTTTGCAGTGAGCCAAGATCGTGCCACTGCACTCCAGCCTAAGAGATAGAGCGAGACTCCTTCTCAAAAAAAAAAAAGTTAATCTTCACCTGCCCGTTAACTTTCTACTCTGCCTTCCCTTTATTCCACTCTCCCTAAAACTGGAATAGAAAATATAGGAACAAGCCAGGAGCCGTGGCTCACACTTGTAATCCCAGCACTTTGGGAGGCTGAGGCAGATGGATCATGAGATCAGGAGTTCGAGACCAGCATGGTGAAACCCAGTCTTTACTAAAAATACAAAAATAATTAGCCAGGCATGGTGGTGCGCACCTGTAATCCCAGCTACTCATGAGGCTAAGGCAGGAGAATCGCTTGAACCCAGGAGGCGGAGGTTGCAGTGAGCTGAGATTGTGCCACTGCACTCCAGCCTGAGCGATAAGGCGAGACTACATCTCAACAAAAAAAAAAAAAAAAGAAAGAAAGAAAATATGGGAACAAAAGAGAGGAACAGGAAACAGAAGGGTACTCACCATCACTGCCAGCTGTCTATAGGCCTTCTTCAGTTCAACATCTGATGCTGTGGCCTCAACCCCCAGTACATGGAAAGGGTCTAGCTCATCTTCAGGAACCCCAGTCATGGTCAAGAGTCGAGCCACTTCCTCTTCAGGCTGGCAGTAGCGCCCACTAGCTACAGGTGCATTCCCCTGCCTATTAGTATTCTGCTTGACCCAAGGCAACTCCAGCCAGCCCCACTGAACTATTCTTACCAGCCGCTGCCATGGCCTGCTATCTCTCAGCAGAGTCAAGCAACGCTGCAAGGCTGGGGAATCCAGCCAAGAGAAGAGCCAGGTGGCCTTATCCCTCCAGCCTAACCGGTCACCTAGTCCCACCAGAAACCGCCATCCCAACTGCAGAAAGCCCAAAAAGACGGCCACAGCCAGGAGCAGCAAAGCACCCAGCAGCTTAAGAAAACGGGTAAACAATCCTACTCCACAGTAAAATCCCTGGCTTAGAAACTGAAACATGACCTGGGCCCAGCCCCCCAGCCGCCCTGTCCAGACTCCCATCCAAACTCGAAAAAGGTCCAAATCACTGCTTTTCAGCTGCCTGCATGCATAGATGAGATGGCCACAAGTTTCTACGTACTCTCCCACCAATACCAGCAGTTCAATCAGCCACCAAAAGCCTGCCTGTCCAAGTTGACACAGTTCCTCAGCTCCCCACAATCCCAGGCCTCTGCGCTTATCTGCCTGACTTCGTTTCCGGCCCAGTCGATGTCGACCAGGGGACCTGGGATCCCTTCGTCCACCCTCCCGAGTATCCTCCTTGGTTGGAAAGCGGTGCCGCTGTCTCCGGGATGCGGGTTTCTTTCCGCTGGACACACGTGAAAAATCACTGGGGAACTTAAGAGATTCTTCATCATCATATTCCTCTTCCAACTCTTCATCTTCCCCCAAGGCTGGAGAGGTACAGTGGTGGCAAAAGTTGCTAGAAGAGCCATTTTCTCCCTCAGAGTAAGGCCCTTCTGGAATTCCAGGTGTTCCCTGGCAGTTGCAAGAAGATGGAATGGAAAGAAAAGAAGGGTTCCCATCCTCCTGGTACCCCGCCTCATCTTCTTTTGAGAGTTCCTGGTCCACTCCTGACTCTTCTTCTGACGATGTCTCACTCTGGTCAGGGTCCTCTGCATCTCTAGGTGGTCCTGGACCCCTTGGGGGGCCATGGCTTGGGTCCAACCAATGGGCTGGGTTTGGGTGCTGTGTGTACTTAGGACCAGAGTGCTCTGTGAGGCAGCGGGTACCATTAGGAGCAGTCCCTGCTGAGTCCCTGAGTCCTGAGAATGAAGGTATTTCAGGGTCCACGGAGGGTCCTAAAGTCCTGAGGGAGGCACCACCACTGTGGTGGGCTCCACACAACCCTCTTTCTCCGGGGTGCTTCTGGGCCATGACCCCAGGGCTTCCTGAGGGTCTTAGGTCACAGCCATCATGGTGTGTTCTGATGCCTGTAACAGATGTCAAGGTGGAGACGGTCAAGGATGAGACCAAGAGAGGAATTAAACAATCTTAAGTAGTGGACATTTAATTCATCCACCTCCCTTGTTTTCCCAAGTTCTTTGGGGGCATTCGCTATTCCTAGCAATAAGCCAAAACTAGACTCACCACAACCCTGCTTGCTCCCTCCCCTCTCCTCCAAATCACCTAAGTTTTTCTTCTTTCCCCAGAAAACTATAACCTTCAATCAGGGAAAAAGGGAGGTGTACCGTAAAGGGTGTGGTCGGGGGAGGGTGGGTCACTCTTAGGAAAATGGGAAAGGCGGCCGGATAGGGGGCCACAGACTGCCAGTAAAGGGTGGGGGCCGTGCGGCCCTGGAGGAAAATCTGGGGGCGGAGCTTAGGGCTGCCCCTAAGAAAGACTACCAGGGAACCCACCGGCTGTGTAGAAGGGACGAAGGTGGCCGGGCACGGTGGCTCACGCCTGTAATCCCAGCACTTTGGGAGGCCGAGGAGGGCGGATCACGAGGTCAGGAGTTCGAGACCAGCCTGACCAATATGGTGAAACTCCGTCTCTATTAAAAATACAAAAATTAGCCAAGCGTGGTGGCGCGCACCTGTAGTCCCAGCTAGTCGGGAGGCTGAGGCAGAAGAATCGCTTGAACCCGGAAGGTGGAGGTTGCAGTGAGCCGAGATCGTTCCACTGTACTCCAGCCTGGGCGACAGAGCGAGACTTCATCTCAAAAACAAGCAAGCAAACAAACAAAAAAAATAAAAACAGAAAAAAAACGGACGTACCGAAGAACGGCGGTAACTCCTCCCCCTCGAGCCGCCCGGCCTGGGGCCAGGGTGAGCTACGAGAGCCGCTCTCCCGGCTCCGCCTCCCGCTCACGCTCTGCTTCCGCCTTCCGTCCCCGCCGCCGCCGCCGACCTGGGCCTACTTCCACTTCCGGGGTCACCAGGGAAGAGACGGGAAGGAAAAGAAATAGTGGTTGGCTGAGAGGCGAGCCAGTCCAGCTAGTGCTGCGTCGACTCCAAGGAGGCGGTCCTAAGGAAGTACTGGCTCCGCCATTTAAAGACCCCTCCCTCCGCGTGTGGGAATAGGATTCCCGCAGGTTGCACCGCTGGAAGCAAGGCAAGTGGGCTCTGCACCAATGCCTGCAGACTAAGGGCAGACTCTCAGGGTTGCTCTGGGTGTATTCCTGGGCTTTGTATTCCTGGGAGATGGAGGGCAGCCACCGAGCCACACGTAGTCTGTTTCCCTTGCAGACAAAACCGGGGAGCTCAGAAGAGTCACTGCCCTGATCCCTTTCGTGCTGGCAGCTGCGAGGACAGAGGCCCCTTTGTATCCTGCGGTGCGGAGGTGGAGCAGAGGAGAGGGTGCCCCGGACTGGCCCCCACCCTCGCCCTGCAGCGCTGCCCCTCCTTTCACAGCAACCCACGGCCTCCCCCTCGCTTGACCCAGCTGGCAAGCTGCCCCTTATACCTGGATCCGCCCCTTGCGACGCAGCTCCCCTGGCCCGATCACCGAGCGGTGCCTAGGAACTGGGAGCGTAACTCAGCTCGGCTCAGAACCTTACCCGAGAGCCAAAGAACACTGAACTCATCTACATGCTGCTTGACATCTTATCTGCATACCAAGCTATTTGGTGGACGTCCACATGCGCCCCCGACTCCCGTTCCGTCGGTCCCCTCCTCTGCACACGCCTCTAGCCTTATAGCTCTCCTGTCAGTGCCCCTTCCAGGCCCCGTCTTGATCCGAAAGTTTTTCCACCCATGAACCCCCGCTGGCGCTCCCAGCCTAGCAAAAGCCTCTTCCCTGGGTCCCCGATCCTGACCACCCGGCTGTCCAGAAGACAATACTCCAATTCTCTGGGAAGTGGAAGAAACCAAGCTGGAGCTAGGGGGGCGCTGGGACCCCTATTGGGGCTTTGAGAGCTTCCGGTTGTCATCTCCTAAGTATTCGGAGACCCTTCTCCAAAACTCTTGGGGTGACTCTCAAGACTCTTACCTGCTATATAGTTGGGGGTCTCTGGTCCTGGACTAGAGCAGTAGGCAACCTGGGTCCCCACACACACAGGGGAAAGAGTTGGAGGGGCCTGCCTTGTGATGTCACCCCCCACCCCGCCACCCACCGCGACGCGCGGGCGCGCGCGCGAGCGCGCGCGCGCACACACAGACAAACACACACGCCCTGTCCCCTTTCTCTACCCCCCAAGCTAGTTGCATTTAGCTCACAGAGCCTGGGCTGCGACTTGAAAGAGTTTAGGCAGCAACAAACAGAGTGGCCCTGGGGGTGCCCTCGACCGACAGCCGACCCCTCGGCGTCTAGGACCTCCGAGCGGGGATGCAGCTGGGGGTCTAGGGAAGCACTTCCACCCCCTCCTCCTCAACCCTGGCAGGGTGGTGAGTAGTTAACATCCCCTCCCCAACCCCCATCTTGTTCAGGGTCCCCAGACTTCCAAGCAGATTGAGGAGAGGAGCTCCGAGAGCCAACCCTCCAGCCTGTAAGGACCTTGATATCCAAAGGACAGCTGAAGGAAGTAAAGCGCCTGCATTTATACCACTTCATTCCCACAGTGCCGGAAATGCCAGCTCCTCCTTGGTGTTCTCCTTTCAGGATCTGAATTCAAATCCCATTTGGCAGCCCTGATACCGCTGGGGGAAGGGTAAGGTAGGAAAATTCCCACCAGTATCCTAAGGGGAGGTGCGAGTGGCTACCGGGATGTGAGATGTCTGTGGGCAAAGTCCTTGCTTATTCCATGAGGGGCTGTGGGATTAGGACTGTGGCTGGATGCCCCTTCCTCCAACAACTCCATCTCAGCATGAAGCTGAGGCTTTAAAACCCTGACAAACTGTGGGTGTGTCTCTACTTAATTCCTCCTTCCAAACTCTTGGTGTCTGGTTTTTTCCCTCTTTCTGCCCTGTGGCTGGAGGAGCTGTCCGAGACCCTACCATGACTCATACTCTCCTGGTCTCCCTCCCTCTCCCCTCTCTATTAACCTCACCCTTCCCAATCTCGTGGGATAGTATTAAGTCCCAATCGCAGATAGGGCAATAATGTCCCTGCAACCCTCCCTCCACACATCCAGGGCTTCCTGTTCCTTCCATCCTCACCCTGAAGAGCTGCAGGGTGGTGGGGGCAGGCAAAGGCTCATTACTTTGTAAGATTTTCATTATTTTATAAGATTTCCTTTTACATTTTACTTAAGTGTCCTTGTTTCAGAGAGTGGTAAAGACAGATCCTGCTCCTCTCAATCCAATCCTATAGATTTCTTCAGTTACCTCAACAGGGTCATACTGGCTTCTGAAATGGGCACCATTATTTAAAGTAAATAGAGGTACAGAATCCTCAAGATTTATGGGCACCTAAGTTTCTGTCCCGTGCCCCCCTGCAGGTTTCCCTATCCCCTAAAGACATTCATGGATGGATGAGAGGAGCTGACATCTCCCGCTCTGTGACCACTTTCTCTTTGGCCCTGGAGGAAGTCTTGCCACCCCTGGCTGTGACATCTGACCCCAGGCCCTTTAATCAACAACTCCCAGAGCCTCCAGACCCAAGATGTGTTTTGGAACCCCAGGACAATCCTGAAGTGGCACCTGCCCTGGTGTGTGCCCTTTGCTGCTGCTTTGGAATCATCTACTGCTGCTTCGGTGAGGGCAGGGCCAAGGACCTAGGGGGCCATTACCCGAGACTGTCACCCTCAAGGATGATGCCAACTTTCCTCCTTGCTCCTGAGCCATCTCGCCTCCCTGCCAGGGGTTCCTACCTCCAGTGTGGCCCATGTTGCTCTGGCTGTATTCCTAGGCCTATGTTGTTGCTCTTGCCAGCTTCTTGTCCATCCTCCATGCCCATGCCTTCTAGCTCTCACTTCTGGCATCTATCATTTGCCCTTCTCTTACCTCCTACCTGAAAACCCCATTCCTAAATTATTCTCTATGTTTCAGGCTTCTTCACTCTTCCCCAAAAACCTGAATCAGCTTGTGCTGATTTTTTCCTATCTGCTATCCTTGAAAGGATAGACCTTCTTTCTATCCTTACTCCCCTCAATGTATCCATCTTACCTCTTGATTTTCCCTCCCATTCCCTCACAGTTCCGGAAACAGTGACCCCCCGACCCTAAGCTACCCCTTTCTGCCCCTGGGCTTGAGGTCTCCTGACATGCTGCTCCTGTCTTCTGCTCCTCTAGTGAGCCATTCCTCTCCCCTGGAATTCATTAGAGTCATCCCCATAGAGCCCCCTTCCTGCCTCTCAATGCCTCCTGCCTCACTTCCCAGGCTACCGCTGCTTCAAGACAGTGATATTTCTCTCCGGTCTGCTGTCAGGAGCTTCCTACTGTGCCACAAGGTGCGGGTGCTGGAGACACAGCTGAGCCTGGAAATGAGAGTGAGCATTGCTGTGGTCATCACCACAGCACTCTCTACATAGACCACTCCTCTACGGCGTGGTCACCATGCTGGTTCACTGTGTTGGGCTCTTATTAACTGGTCTCCTGCTACGCCTGACCTTGGGTGCTGGAGCCCTGCTCTCCACTGAGCCTATCTACCAACCACCTTCAGCATGGGTGCCAGCTGGGGGGCCGCGGGGGCCGGCGCTGCTGGGAACCCTGCTCACACTTGGGTGGTCACGTCCATTCACAGTTCTGGGTACAACCCTGCTGGGTTCTGCAGTGTTTGTGGCCTATGCTGACTAATTCCTGGAGGGGCTGGCACTGGGCAGTCGGCTGGGCCAACACCTGTAGACACTTCCACCCTTGTCTTCTCTCTGCTGATATAGCTGGGTCTTACTGGGGATTTGGCCAGCCTTGGGGGCCCTTGGGGCCCTGGCCCAGTGGAAGCTCATGCCTGGGGAACATGGAGGCCATACCAGTGGTGAGTTAGTGCTGTGGTACAGAAGCAAGGTCATGCCTGAGGAACATGGAGGCCACACCAATGGTGAGTTAGTGCTGTGGTACAGAAGCAGCCAAACTGTGCCTACTTATGTCCCCAGTTCCTAGACTTGAGGAGGGGAAGGGGAGAAATACATTTGAGGAAGGAGAGTGGGGGAGGATGTCCAAGGTGAATGGGGCAGGGCACTGAAAAAAAAAGTTGAAGGAGTCAGGGAAAGCAGGAAAGAGTTGCAGAAGGAAAGGAGGATCTCAGGGAAGTCTAGAAGGAAAGAATAGAATTCCAAAGAGTTTCTTTTAGAATAAATGGGGGGCCGGGCGTGGTGGTTCATGCCTGTAATCCCAGAACTTTGGGAGGCCAAGGCGGGCGGATCACGAGGTCAGGAGATTGAGACCTCGTGACTAACATGGTGAAACCCTGTGTCTACTAAAAATACAAAAAATAAACTAGCCAGGCGTGGTGGCGGGCGCCTGTAGTCCCAGCTACTCTGGAGGCTGAGGCAAGAGAATGGCTTGAACCCGGGAGGCGGAGCTTGCAGTGAGCCGAGATCACACCACTACACTCCAGCCTGGGTGACAGAGCGAGAGTCCGTTTCAAAAACAAAAAAAGAATAAATAGGGGGAAGATGAGGCTTGAGAGAAACATAACAGGAAGTTCAAATGGGTTTCTTTAGAGTGTATTAGGGTAGGATTCAGGTCTAAAGAGGCCTCCTTGAGTCTGTATTGCCCCCTCCTAAGCAGTGGTCCTTTTTTTTTGAGACAGTCTCACTCTGTCACCCAGGCTGGAGTGCAGTGGCATGATCTTGGCTCACTGCAACCTCCGCCTCCTGGATTCAAGTGATTCTCATGCCTTAGCTTCCCGAGTAGCTGGGATTACAGATGTGCACCACCATGCCCGGCTAGTTTTTGTATCTTTAGTAGAGACAGGGTTTCACCATGTTGGCCAGGCTGGCCCTGAACTCCCGACCTCAAGTGATCCACCCACCTCAGCCTCCCAAAGTGCTGGGATTACAAGCGTGAGCCACCGCACCCGGCCAGCAGTGGTCTTAAGCCACCAGCAAAGGCATCTCCAACTCCTTCCGACCCTTTAGCAAAAGGCCAAATGGCACTGGATCCCCTCTGGGGTGGGGCTTTGTGAGGGCAGCTATCGGCACCAGCTCCCTGCCAATACCTGGAGCCCTGCTGACAGTCTCACTCCAGTGAGTGGGGGGCTTGGGGACACCCTGGGCAGATGGAGCAGAGGGCATATGGGGATGGTCAGGGTGGGAGGGGGGCTCTGACCCAGGCCCCTCCTTTCTCTCTGCCCTGTGTCCCCCCAGAGTTATTTCCAGAGTCTTCAAGAGTGCCAACTGGGACCAGGACCCCAGGCCACAGCCCCCTACGCTGTCCTGGACCTGGATTCTGACTGTGGTTCCACTGTACCCCTTATCTTAATCTCTGGTTCTAACCAGACCTGAGCCTGGACTTCCACTTTTGCCCTCACCCCTGTGAGGGCCTGGGAGCACTAGGTGGACAGGGTTTGAGCCACAGGACCTGCACATAAACTTCCCCACCTCTTGGACTTGGGGATAGGATCTGTGCCTCAACCCAGACCAGCCTTGTAGGGATATGTTCCAAGAATAGAGAAGAGTCTTATGGGGAAGGGGGAAGAAGGGAAGTATGAATATTTACCTCTGACCAATAATAGAGGTACCCTGGTCCCCGAAGAAACTGACTACCGAATTCCCTCCAAGCCTTACCCATATAGTCTTTTTTTTGTTTTGTTTTGTTTTTGAGACAAGGTCTTGTTCTGTCCAGTGCCGTGGCGTGATCATAGCTCATGACAACCTTGACTTCCCCGGCCCAAGCAAGCCTCTCATTCAGCCTCCCAAGTGGCTGGGACCACAGGCACCACACACAGCTAATTTTTATTCATTTGTTTTTATTTTTTTTGTAGAGACAGGGTCTCCCTATGTTGCCCAAGCTGGTCTTGAACTCCTGGGCTCAAGTGATCCTCCTGCTTCAGCCTCCCAAAGTGCTAGGATTATAGCCACCATACCTGGTCTTGAAATAGCCTTTTAAATATCCACCTCAGCATGCCTCACAGTGGTAGAAACAAGCGTTTTTTGTTTTATAGGATCAGGGAGCTTCTAAGGCATTTGATAGCTTTTTGATGGGAAGAAGGGCTCTGAGGAGCTCCAAGATACCCCCACCTCCAGGCACTTCATTAGGGGGTAGTTGGGTTTGTTTGACCTTCCCCCCGGGCCCCATAGGCTTAAACCCCCACCTCCTACCTCAGCTAGGAGCACTATCTTCCATGGTGCTTCCACTTTTCTCCTCAACCTGGGGAAGACCACAGGGCAGTGCCTGCCTCAGGACCTTCCTTCCCCAAAAGCTGGCTTCTTGCTCCAAGGAGAGAGCATTGGCCCACCTGCCAGAGTCTTGCCTTTTGCCCAAAGGAGCCTGGTCTTCAGGGCTGCATAGGAGACAAGTGCTTTCTCTGCTTCTCACTGTGGGTGGCACTAATTTCCTCCTTAACCAGAACTTTGTTCCAGCCACTAACCCACTCTAACTCTTCCCCCTCTGACTCTCCTGCCCCAGGTCTGTTCCTGGTTTCCCAGATGCATAAAGGAAGACATATCCCTCCCCTGGGCAGCAAGGCTACAATGGGAGGGAGGGAGAACATGGGAGCATGTGAATAAAATGGCATTAAATACTGAACCAGGAGTCCAGCCTCTGCTGTTGCTGCTCTTTCTCTGTACCCCAAAACAAAGAGCTAACCATCTTGACAAATCCTCTGTCCCCTAAAGATCTAATAGAGGTACCTTTATCATACAGACTACTGTAAGAGTTGTACAACCAGACAGCTAGAGGAAGAGCTGTTCAGTCCTCTCTTATGAACTTGGAGTTAGCCTTTATTAAACACAAATGTACCAGACACTGTGCCAGGTACTTCACATACAGTATTTCATTTAGTGCAACAACCCTGCAGGACTGGTCTTAACCTAATGTTGCAAATGGGGAATCTGAGGTTCAAAGGTTAATTAGCTTGCCCATAACCATAAGCACGTAAATGTGATTCTTGAGGATTCCAAGGCCCTTGCTCAGTTTAGTGGCCATGCTGTTTTCTTGCATTTTATGTAAGAAGAACAGGACCCAGGCATCTGCCTCCACCATTGACCTCCAAAGAATAGATGACACAGTTGGAAGGGCTGTCTAAGACAGACAGGAAACGGAGTTGGGGGCCAAATCTGAGTTAGGGGAGCACTTCTCAGGATTGAAAGAGCACAGGAGAGTGGTGGCTGGTGCTGGAACTGTTAGAGGCCTGAGGTCTACAGTCATGCCCCTGCTACAGCACCTGCGAGGTTCAACTGAGCAGACAGGTATTTCATTCAGGTAGTAGGCCTCTGGGAGGGAATGAAAGGGTGGGTGGTGGAGCCTGAGGGCGTAATGTCCAAGATTGTGTCTGTGGGTGAGCAGTCAGTATTCAAATGTGGTATCTGTGGCTGAGACAGTGGTATCCAAGGTTGTGCCCATACCTGAAGGAATGGTATCCCCACCTGATAGGGTAGTGTCTACAGTCTGGGGACGACAGTGCATCCAGTTGTGGGCAATATTTCTGGGATAACCTTTCTCTACTCGAAGCTGCTGGTTGAGGCGCCAGTAGACTTTGCCTTTGAAGAAGAAGACTCGGCCATCTTGCCAACTCATAGCAGCCGAAGGCTGGTTTGGCACTCCCGTAAACAAACCCTTGATTGGTTTGGGGTAGCTGCTGAAGTCAGTTCGGGCCAGCTCGTCCCACTGCCAGTACCCGGAGCCCTGGATATGGGATGGGTGGGGAGAGGAAGAGGAGAAAGCTTAGGACCCCCAGAGGTCTACCCCCAGCCCAGTGCAGCTGCAGAACATCTCCCTTCAAGCACAAGCTTTGATTCTCAGTATAAGTTAGCCCACCCCTCCTAAGAAGGGATTTGCCCTTGCTTTGAACTTTATACCTTAAAGAGGAACACCTTTTGGTTGAGAGGCCAATAGAAAGCTGCATCCAGGTTAGGTTCTACCCTATTCAGCTTCTTGGGGAAGCCAGGAGACATCTTGAAATTAATGTAGCGCCACACCTTGTCTCCTGAGAGCATGTGAGGAGAGAACAAGTCACCTCTGTCCTCAGGTGATAACTTTTGGTCTCCTCCGGTCCACCCATTCAGAAACTTCTCATCTCCCTCCCTTTTATAGTTTAAGATTAGGTCCTCCTCAAGTAAGATACTGTAAACTAGCTCCCTTACCCTTAAAGAAGTGAATCCATTGTGTTCGAGGCGAATAGACAGCAGCATCCAGGTTTCCGGGGAGCCCCTCCCAAAGGGCAGACACTCGGAACAAGGGTCCTGGTCCTGAATCTGATACAGTCCACACGTAGTCCCCCTTGAAAGCATAGGTCGTCCCACGGGGCCCTTAGAGTAATGGTGTGTCAACAAGTCAAAAAGACAGAGGTCAAGTAGACAGAAACTTGGGGGTATCTCAGGCTGACTAACAATTTGCCCTCCCCCTGCAGGCTGATTCTTCAAATATTCATTCAACTTTGATTCAAGGAGAAAATTAAAGGCAGAGAAAGAGGACTCAGAACATTTTGTTGCTCAGAGCATTTCAGCTTTGGTCTACTCAACAAAACAAAAGTCCTGCAGATAACTATTCCTCCTTAGGAACCTCAGCCTCCCCTCCAAGTGGCTTCCTAGTTGTCCTTCCAACTAGGTATAACACCCTCTCTAACAGGCAATCTGGTTAATATAGTTTTCTCCATCTTGCTGCATTTCCAGATGTATTCTAGTGACCCTTAGAGGGTGGCAACCTTGGTAAGTGCCTGCCTAAGCCACCTTTAATTTGGCTCTGAACTCTCCCTCCCCATGTCACATGTCTCCTTCCATGGTCATTAATGCCTGGGATCTAACCTCCATTGCTCATGCTGAAGTCCCATGTCATTCCCATATGTCCAGGCCTCAGGATCAGCAGGCTGCCCCCACTGCCTGCCAACAGCCTGGAGGGGAAGGACCTCACCCAGCATCATGGCATCCAGTTCACTACTGCAGGGGTCTGGCATGGGACTGGATTCTGTGGGCACTGGGGACACAGTGGGCAGCTCTGTCTCTTCTTCTTCCTCATCCTTTATCACTGGACTCTTCTTGCCTATAAGGTGAAGTAATGCTGCTTAGGGAGAGAACTCACAGCATCTGTCCTCCGCACCAGTCTCCTGTAAATTTTGCCCAGAGGCCCCATACAGAGGGGAGAAGGGAATCCTAGAGCATTGTCATTCGTGGTAGGCAATATTATGTTGGTATCAGTGGAAGACACATTATAGGTTTGAGAAGCACCAGAAAGGGAGAAGGAGGATTGTTAGAATGTGCATTCTTGCCGGGTGTGGTGGCTCACACCTGTAATCCTAGCACTTTGGGAGGCTGAGGCGGGTGGATTGCCTGAGCTCAGGAATTCAAGACCATCCTGGGCAACATGGTGAAACCCCATCTCTACTAAAATACAAAAAAAATTAGCTGGGCATGGTGGCGTGCACCTGTAATCCCAGCTACTTGGGAGGCTGAGGCAGGAGAATCGCTTGAACCCAGGAGGCAGAGGTTGCAGTGAGCCAAGATTGTGCCATTGCACTCCAGCCTGGGTGACAGAGTGAGGCTCCATCTCAAAAAAAAAAAAGAAGAAGAAGAAGAAGAAGAATGTGCATTCTCCATCCCCAAGCATGGGTGTAAGGAGAGAGAGGCCTGGAAGGTAGATTAGACATAGAAAAGTCAGAGAGAAACTGTTCCTGAAAATGAAGAAGACTGAGTAACTGGGCTGGAAGAGAAGAAAGACACTAAGCTATATCCCAACATGGAGGCTAGACCTGTCTCTTCAAGCCTTGACATGGGAGTCAGACTGACCCTCCCCCTCACTAGGGGAAGGGACTGACCATAGAGAGCCTGGATGCCTGCCACATCATCTGGGTGTAGCTTGAAGTGGGGCTGGTAGCCCTGGTAGACTGGGGCCATGAGGGCCTGGGAATATCGGGAGTGCCCCAGCCCCAGGGCATGGCCCACTTCATGGGCTGCAATGATGCGCAGGTTCACCCCGCGGTAGGTCCCCTCAGTCCAGAACTCGTCTTCATCGAAGTGCACACTGCCCAGCTCTGGGATGTCGGCATGGGCCAGGACTCTCCCTGGAAAAAGGTAAAGGTGAACAGGAAGGAGGTCAGAGCCCGTTAGGCCAGAGCACACCCTGCCTATTATAAACTCTAATTAATGCATGCCCTTAAAATTCCCCTAGCTATGTCCACTGTCTCTTGGATGCTTCTTTCTCTCCTTTCAGATTCCCCTGTCATCACCCAGTTCTCTCAGGAATGCCCATCACTGTCCCTTACCTCCCCAGCCACTCCGTGCTCTCTGACCCAGTCCTCTCTGGCCAATACCTCTAAGGTATGCCTTGAACAGGGGAACTTAAGGGAGAAAAAGAAGCACAGGCAGCCAGGGACGATGGCTCACACCTGTAATACCAACATTTTCGGAGGCCAATGCAGGATGATTGCTTGAGTACAGGAGTTTAAGACCAGCTTGGGCAACATAGCAAAACCTCACCTCTACAAAAATTAGCCAGGTGTGGTAGTGTTTTCCTATAGTCTCTACCTGGGAGCCTGAGGTGGGAGGATCACTTGAGCCTGGGAGGTTGAGGCTGCAGTGAGCCATGATTGTGCCACTGTACTCCAGTCTGGGCAACAGAGTGAGACTCTGTCAAGCAAGCAAGAGAGAGGAAGGAAAGAAGGGAGGGAGGGAGGGAGAGAAGGAAGGAAGGAAGAAAGGGAGGGAGGGAGGGAGGGAGGCACCATGTAGATGACCAACTGCTCCCCTGCTCCCGTTAGAAGGTAATTAGAGTGTATGGTGCAGGTGGGATAAAGGGCAGCCCAAACATCAAGGTTCCAGAGTCACTGGTTCAAGGAGACAGAGGTAATCTCAGAGGTCTATGAGGTGGGAACTGAGAACTGTTGCCTACCAGGCCCATCAAAAGAATTGGAACAGTACAAGCTTTGGCGGCCATGGAAGGAGAGGCGGATGTCAGCCCCACCAGCCTGCACCTCTCGGAAGGTCAAGGGAGCCACATTGCTCCAGTCCTGGAAGGCTTGACGCAGGGCTGCCCGGGCTGTGTGGGATGGAAGGGTGGAGGGCAGGTTCAAGATGCGGAAAGTCAAGTGCTTCTTTCTCCAGCGGCCTAGTTAATGACCAGAAAACAGATTAGAAATACAGATCCTTCTGCCAACCCCAGAGAGCTCCTCTGGGTTTAGGCACTCAACCCCCAAGACAGGTGATAACCAGGTAATCACCAGGTATTCAACACTGAGCTGGTCCAGACTGTCCTAATGCCACCCACAGTCCAGAATCACAGCACCCCCTCCTCTCCCTCCCTTTTCCAGGCTCCGTTCTCACCCAGCAACAGGTATTTAAGGGTCTTCTGGTTGAAGGGATCCTCTAGGCCACAACGAGGCTGCCTCATGCGGGCCCTTGTGGCATCATCCAGCTGACCTGAGACTGGAAGTTCAGATGCTTCCTGAAAAGCTCTGAAGGAGGGAGAGGGATGGGTCTACCAGGACAGGAAAATCTGAAATGACTGGGAGCTGGAGATGATTGCTCTTTGACTTCCTGCTGCCCAAGGTCATGGCCAAGAATAGCACAGAATCCCTGAAGCTGACAGGGTTACTCCAGCCTCCAGTCCTCATAATTGGGACTTTCTACAGAAATGGAGATACTCCAGCTTCATCTCCCCATTTCAGGCTCTTTCACTCGAGTAAGCTGGCCCTCAGGTGTAGCCTTCCTCCTCTACTGTAATTTATTTATTTATTTATTTATTTATTTATTTATTTATTTCTCTCTCTCGCTCGCTCTCTCTCTCTTTCTTTCTTTCCTTCTCTCTCTCTTCCTTTCTTTCTCTTTCTTTTTCTTCTCTCTCTCTTTCTTCCTTTCTTTCTCTCTCTCTTCCTTTCTTTCTCTTTCTTTATTTTTCTTCTCTCTCTCTCTGTCTTTCTTCCTTTCTTTTTTGGTAGAGATGGGGTCTCACTGTGTTGCCCAGGTTGCTCTCAAACTTCTGGGCTCAAGCAATTCCCCTGCCTGGATCTCCCAAAGTGCTGGGATTATAGGCATGAGCCACCATGCCCGGCCCCTCTACTGCAATTTCTAACCTTCTCCTACTCTGTGGAGGTGTCCGGCTCCCCTGCTTTGGAGAGCTTCCCACTAGTGCTCCCACCTGACAGCCTGTCCTCTTTCAACCTCCTCCCCTCCTGGCTGGATACCCCTCCCAGCCCAGCTTGCTCTGGAGCAATTTCATCCATCTACGGACTGTCATAGGGCCTATGGGCTTTTCAAGGGATCTGAACATATCTGAGAGCAGAAAGAAAAACAATCCATTATATCAACATATAAAATTATAAAACAGAAATAAGTACTGAATTAAAGGCCCACAAAAGGTAACAGCATGTCAACAACTCAACTCAGTTTTACATATCATTATACTTTATGTGGGCTATAACTAAATATTAGTATTTGAGATATGATATGGGTAGAGACTCCAAAGGAGTGCTTAGGGCCTAGGGAGATCCAATGACTGTATTCCTGGTCTGTGAATCCCCATCTTACCCCATGCCCCACCACCATAATAATGATCGCCATCCATCTCTAGATCCCTGCCATGGTTTAGGGTCAGGAGGAGGTGGGCCTAGGGAGAGGAAGGGATGAGAAGGAAGAAGACCTTTAGACCTTAGCCCTAAAGGCATGCACCTCATAGATTCTCACCTCAGAGCCTCGGTGATATCTTCTGGCTTGAAGTTATTAGATCCTTCTAGAGGCTTCTGTAGGTACCCATATTGCGACAGGTACTCCTGTGATGGGAGTGGAGGTAAGCAGGTTAAAAGGGGGTTAGTCTCAGAGTAAAGCTTCTAAGTGACCTAACAGGTCCCTCAGGAGAGAAGGGGCCAGATATGGAAGCACTAATGCAGAAGCACCTTACAGAAGGGGCTCAGGTGGAACAAGGGGAGGCAGCGGGAGATGGGCAGGGTAGACCATGGGGCAGAGGGAGCAAGGGAAAGGCAGGCAGGCTGGGGGTCAGGAGGGAGGCTTGGATGGGCAGTAACCCCTGTCCCTCCCCTGGCCCAGGTCTCTTTCTTGGAGGACTTACCACGGCCATCTCCTTCTCTGCAAGCCCCAGGACCCGACCTGAGACTGTCATGGGGAGTAGGAAGCCCAGCCACAGCTGCTGCCAGTTCATGGTCCCACCAGACCAGAGCTCCAGAGGCTGTCTGTGCCCTCTGACCTGAGATTTCTGGGAGCCTGGGGGAAGCAATGCTAGGCAGAGGGACTCTTTCCTCCAGTTCTTTTTACTCTCCAGCCTCTGGTCCTCTTTATAACAGCTGAGGGGAATTGTGGGGAGAGGCAGAGGGAGGTGACTCAGCCAAGAGATATGTTGCAATTCACCATTAACACTTGCCCTACCAGAGAGCAGAAGCCAAAGAGAGTTCCCAATCCCTTCCCTCAGAGTCCTCTGCTGGAGATGGAAAAACTTTTCATACTGCCCTAGGGTGAGCATCCGGGCAGGACAAGAACCAGAATCTCTGGAGAGTCTAGAGATGGGGACCATGGACATCCCCTGGAGTTAGACATCGCTGTGCCCCAGGGACCCTGGGCCAGCAAATCACTCCGCCCCTACCTTTGAGTTTCCCTAGGATAAGCTGAGAGGTAGGAAACAGCTGAGGTAGCTTGGGTTTCAGGTGAAGGAGTCAAGGGTGAAGTCCTCAGTTTCTTTGTACCCAAGACCAAGTTGGGAATATAAATGCTCCTGAAACCCACTTATGTCTGCTTTAATAAAAAGCCATTATTTCAAGAATCTGATGAGCTTGGAATATGTGGGTGTAGGTGGGGCTTAACAAGGGCACAAATAAGTAAAGGGCGCAGAGCCTACCCTTACAGATCCGGTGAGGCAGATCCAAACACCTGGGAAGAGGGGAGCCAGCATTCCGGGCCAGCGGTGACTCACCTTAAGGGGCTTGGGGCTGGGGGGAGGTTTGCTGAGAAGGCAGGCTTTGAGATGGGCTTTGAAGGCCAGCTAAGAATTGATGGGGGAAGGCCAGGCATGGTGGCTCACTCTTGTAATCCTAGCACTTTGAAAGGCCAAGGCAGGGGGATCACTTGAGATCAAGTTCGAGACCAGCCTGACCGACATGGTGAAACCTTGTTTCTACTGAAAATACAAAAATTAGCCGGGTATGGTGGCGGGTGCCTGTAATCCAAGCTACTCTTGAGGCTGAGGCGGGAGAATCGCTTGAACCCAGGAGGCGGAGGTTGCAGTGAGCTGAAATCACACCATTGCACTCCAGCCTGGGCAACAGAGCAAAAACTCCATCTCAAAAAAAAAAAAAAAGAATTGATAGGGTAAAAGGATACTGAGAGACAGACACTGCGGGTCTTGAGTAAAAGTGCAGAGCTGAGAGCCTGCTGTACTCAGTAAGTCAGAAGGGTCAGGATTGCTTCATTCACCACTGAATCCCAAGTGCCTGTCCCAGGCCATCTCCATGCTTTCGAGGCCCTACTTAATAAATCACTGTCAAAGAATGACAGGGTGGGAAAGTGGTTGGGAGACAGAATTTGGAGGGGGCCTTAAATGCTATGCAAGGAAAAGAAGAAAAACTTACATTTTAAAATACCGGCTGGGCGCGATGGCTCACACCTGTAATCTCAGCACTTTTGGGGGCTGAGGTGGGCAGATCACGAGGTCAGGAGTTTCAGACCAGCCCAGCCAACACAGCAAAATCTTGTCTTTACTAAAATACCAAAAATTAGCCGGGTGTGATGGCATGCGCCTGTAATCCCAGTTACTGTGGAGGCTGAGGCAGGAGAATTACTTAAACCCAGGGGGCGGAGGTTGCAGTGAGCCAAGATCGCACCACTGCACTCCAGCCCAGGCAACAGAGCAAAACTCTGTCTTGGAAAAAAATAAAATTAAATTAAAATAAATAAAAATATGGCCAGGCGCAGTGGGTCATGCTTGTAATCCCGGCACTTTGGAAGGCCAAGCCAGGCAGATCACGAGTTCAGGAGTTCGAGACCATCCTGGTCAACATGGTGAAACCCTGTCTCTACTAAAATAAAAAAATTAGCCCAGTGTGGTAGCATGCACCTATAGTCCCAGCTACTCGGGAGGCTGAGGCAGGAGAATTGGTTAAACTGGGGAGGCGGAGATTGCAGTGAGCTGAGATCATGCCACTGGACTCCAGCCTGGTGACAGAGTGAGACTCCGTCTCAAAATTAATTAATTAATTAGTTAATTAAAATAAAAATACCTACTATTGGGTGATGGGTGCACCAAAATCTCACAAATCACCACTAAACACTAAAGAACTTATGCAAGCAAATACCACCTGTTCCCCAAAAACCTATGGAAATAAAAAATTAAAAGTAAATAAAGGCCGAGCATGGTGGCTCACACTTATAATCCCAGCACTTTGGGAGGCTGAGGTGGGTGGATCACCTGAGGTCAAGAGTTTGAGACCAGCCTGGCCAACATGGTGAAACCCTCTCTCTACTAAAAATACAAAAAGTAGCCAGGCGTGGTGGCACGCGCCTGTAATCCCAGCTACATGGGAGGCTGAGGCAGGAGAATTGCTTGAACCTGGGAGACAGAGGTTGCAGTGAGCCGAGATTGCATCACTGCACTCCATCCTGGGTGACAGAGCCAGACTCTGTCCCAAAAAAATAGTTAAAAAAAAAAAAATAGCTACTATGTAGTACATGCTTTATATATTACCTCCTTTAGTTCTCACAGCCATCTGGTGAGGGGAGAATTATTCTGACCACTTTTTGTAGGAGGAAATAGATACTCAGAAAGGGAAATTTGACCAAGAACATGGAACTCCCAACTGGCCTGACCTTATTCAAATCCCTCTGCTGACTCTATAACTCATGCTCTTTCCATACACCACAATGACACTTAGAGGTTTGTTCTTTAAGTAACTAGGAGCCCCTGAAGGATCCACCATCAGTTACGCATCATACATTTGCATATTGTTCTAAAGCACAACGAAGTAGACATAGGAATGGGGGGAAAGGTAGCTGAACTTATGTTCTCAGAAGGGCTGGGAGGCCATAAGAGAACACCTCATAGCCCAGGATCAAGGTGGGGGATGCTCCTGATTCACACTGCTGCCCTCAGTGATGCTGGTCCCTCTGAGCCATCCACCACCCAACTGGTAACCATTGGGTGACTAAGTCTCAAGTGACCAGTGACAGGCAAGGAAGGACAGAAAACCTCTGAGAGATGAGTGACAGGGCCCATCACCAAGGCTGATGCACCCAGGAAATGATGGAGTTTGGGGACAAGTTCCTGCTTAGTCCCCTGCAGGGCTCTTTCTCCTCTCTTTCCTCCCTCGTTCTACCCCCATTCCTGTCTTTCTCCTTTTGAGAACAGAACATGGGCCAATTGAAAATTAATTACGATTTTTAAAAGTAATGTTTTGTGTTTTTTTCCTGAATAAGTTATTCATCATTCATTATAATATTTGGTATTAGAAAATACCAAAACAAAGAAGAAAATGAAAACCACTAGTAAATTCTACCCAAAAGAGAACCACTAGTAACATTTTGATGCATTTCTTTGAAACTGTCTGAGGACCTGAGTTTATCCAGCTCTGCCTGCCTGACCTCAGCCACTGGAGACTGGCTGGGATGGAGGAGAAAGCTTTAGGAGCCAGAGAGGATAATGGAGGAGACGTGAGGGGAGAGGTGGGGAAGAGACAGACAAGGAGGATGCAAGGGACAGGAGTAAAGTAAAACGAATGCTATAGCAAATTACTCCCTCCTCTTAGAAACCTCACGTAAGGAAAAAAAGAAAAAAAAATTATTATTTTTTCTTTGGTCTCCCAGGCTGGAATGCAGTGGCACAATAATCCTGGCTCACTGCAACCTTCGCCTTCTGGGCTCAAGCAATCCTCCCACTTCAGCCCAGCATAACTGGGGCTACAGGCATGCACCACCCAGCCCAGTTAATTTTTGTATTTTTTGTAGAGAGGGTGGGGGGTGGGGGAGGTAGGTTTCCTATGTTACTCAAGCTGGTCTTGGGCTCAAGTGATCCGCCCACCTCGGCCTCCCAAAGTGCTGTGATTATACCTGTGAGCCACTGTGCCCAGCCAGAAAAAAAAAAATATATATATATATATTATATATAAAAAATAAATATATATATATATTTAGTGTGTTAGGGAGAGAGATGGCGGTTATCATAAGGTAAAGTTGGGTACTAACTCTAGCCTCAGAAGGCCTGGGGGTGGAACCACATTCTAGCAACTTAGGAGCCAGGAGAGAGAATAAATCAAAAGTAAAAGCTGCCAAATAGTTAACTTCATTTAAATTTTAACAACAACCCTTGAGCCAGTATTACCATCTTTTTTACTCCTTTTCTGAGACTGAGTCTCTGTAGCCCAGGCTGGAGAGTGCAGTGGTGCAATCTCGGCTCACTGCAACCTCCGCCTCCCGGGATCAAGCAATTCTCCTGCCTCAGCCACCCGAATAGCTGGGATTACAGGCGCGTGCCACCACACCCAGCTAATTTTTGTACTTTTAGTAGAGACGGGATTTCACTATGTTGGCCAGGCTGATCTCAAACTCCTGAGCTCAAGTGATCCACCCACTTGGCCTCCCAAAGTGCTGGGATTATAGGCGTGAGCCACTGCACCCGGCCAGTATTATCATCTTTTTACAGAAAAAGAAACCGAGTCTCTAATAAGTTGCTTCAGGTCACATAGCTAGGATGCAGCAGAGCCTAGAGCGGGCTCTAAAGCTGCCATCTTTGCTCAGCGCTCTTCAGTCTCCCAGAGTTCCCAGAGTTCCCACTGGGACCCAAACAAAAGCCCCTAGAGTCAGGAGCTGCAGGCCAGGCACATGTGCAAGGACTGGATGACTAATTGTTGCCAGCACAGCATCATGACCACCTCTCCACCAGCCCCTAACCCCTGAGCCAGGCTGACCCAGCTCTTTTTCCCTCTAAATTTGTCATCTCTCACTGGGGGAGATGTGGGCATGTGTGCGAAAGGTTAGGACATGTGGCTGGCCTGCCGCAAAAGGAGAACTTGATCTGAAAGAAAAAAATGGGGTTATTTGTCTTGCTTGCTCCCTTCCTGCAAATTGGTTTCCCTCTCTGTCCACAAATTGTGGCAAAAGAGTTTTACAGAAATATTTTTAATACAATATTTTAAACTATAGGAAATGAGAGTAGGGTAGACCTCTGAGAGTATTTTCTAATGATCAGGGGCCAAGGGGCTATGAGTGGAAGGCGAAAGTTTGTAGAGATTTCTAAGCTCAGGAGAAGCTCATCTTGAAGCCATCGCCCACCCCCTCTGACAGTCACCCTTACCCTGTGGAGGCAGTGGGCA